CCTCGAGTTACACACTCTGCTGCTGCTTCCCTCACACTTACTACCATGCACTTAAATGGCTACTCGAGAAAAAGGTTTCTTCACTTGGTTTATAAGCTGTCATAATCTAGTGGTCCTCCTACTCCGATGACTACTTATTCTCAGCCTCCTGTGCAGGCTCCTCTCATCTCCTGAATGCTGGTATTTTTTCTTCTTTGTTGAGAACTAGGGGTAAAATTCAGGGCTGTGCTCATACTAGGCAAACATTCTGTCACTGAGCCACGTCCCCAAGCCATTTTTTAAAGAAGAAGCTGGCTTAATTGCTCAGGTTGGCCTCAAACACGCTATCCTCCTTCCTCAGCCTCCGAAGGAGCTGGGGTTACAGATGTGTCCAGCTACATCTCCTGAGCCTCTCAGTGCTGGCTTAGCCCAGGACTTGGCCACACTCTCCTCTTGTCTTAATCCCATGCAGCACTATCTTATCTTGGTTTGAGTCTTTAACTCCTTAATTTATTTTTGTCTTTTTGAGATAGGGTTTCACTATGCAGTTCAGGCTGGTCTTGAATTCATTTTGTATCCCAGCCTGGCCTCAAATTTGTAGCAATCTTTCTGCCTCAGCTTCCTGAGTACTGGGATTACAGATATGCACCACCAAATCCGGCTTCAGTCTTTAACTCTTACTGAGTAATAGCAGAAAGTGGTGGTTGTTGAAGCTGGTTGTTGGGTACGTGAGAAAAATCATTTTCTTAAAAAAATCATTTACTATTCTATTTTATATGTATTTGAATTTTATTTTAAAGGAATTTTAAAAATAAATGGTGTCCACAGATGATGATTTCGAGATTTCTTCCTTGAACTCCAAACTTATCTTACTCAGGTGTCAGACATGCTGTCTTGAGCATCTATCAGGCAGGCACCTCAAGCTGCATAAGTCTAAAATGAGCTTCTGATTGTTATTCCCTCCCAAAGCTGCTCTTTCTGCAGCCCTGCCGGGTCAGAACCTGAAGACTCCAGCTGGGTTGGTGGCCCGTGGCTGTAATCCCAGCATTCCAGAGCCTGAGGCAAGAGCACTCCACACGTCTGAGGCCAACCTGGGGTACACAACAAGTTGGAGGCCTGCCTGAGCTACACAGTGAGACTCTGTCTCCAAAAAATGTTAGAGGTCCTGAGTTCGATTCCCAGTACCGGCCCCACCCTGCAAAAAAAAAGCAACTCCATCACCCCTCTGCCCCTGTCCAGGCCAGAAACCTCATATCCAGCCTCATCCTATTTTTACCCCGTATCCAAACTGCCAGCCAATTTCTGCCCCCGCTGTTGTCCAAGCCTGCACTGCTCTCTGGTGGCTTTACAGATGCCCCATTTCTGCTCTTACCGCCATATTGTCTCTTTTCGATTGAATAACAGGCAATATAGGTCAGACACCTACAGTGTGGCCCAAGTCCTTCCAATGGCCCGCACTGACCCAGCTCATACTCCTCCCACCTCGCTCCGGCCTTCTTGTGTGTCCTATGTCACCAGGCATGCTCCTGCCCCGGCGTCTTCCCACTTGCTCATTTCTCTGTCTATAAGGGACTCTACCGATGTGCCTATAAACAATTCTTCACTTGCTTCAGGTCTTCACGCTAAGATCATCTTCTCAGGCCCTCTCTGCTTGCCCAGCTAAAATCTGCCACCCCTCCATTGCAAACTCTAACTCCATTCCTGGCTGTTTTTTTCTTCCTAGCCATTATTACTATCCAAAACCCTTATCTTTTGCTTAACTTGTTTACTATTTATTCCCATCAGAATGTAAGCTCCCTGATCACAGAAATTTCTATCTGTATCTCCAGCATCTATTCCTTATGTCTGGCACATATGGAACCCAATAAATACTTGCTGAATATCCTAATCAATTTCTCACTGGGCTATAATCTACGAGGGTAGAAAAAGACTTTGATCACTTACTGATGTATCCACTACTAGTCCTTAACAGGTATGTGTTGAGCAAGCTAATTAAGAAAAAGGATGTGAGGGAACATAGTACAGAGATGAGGAAGAATGCATATCAGAGGACGGAAGAAGCATTTAGATCACTGTGAACCTTTAGGGCAAGAGGAGGCAATGGATTTGGAGGGGCTAAGTTGGTTTCACGTTGTAGAGTTCACTGCCAGATTTCAAAAGCTGTCTGGCATCCTTATGCCATGACAAAGTGGCAATGAGGGAAGAATTGCTTATAAACATCACCAGAGTCAAGCTTGGTGGTGCACACCTGTAATTTCAGTTCTCAGGGAGGCTGATGCAGGAAGATCACAAGTTCTACTTCAGCCTGGACAACTCTGAAACTTAGCAAGACCCTGTCTCAAAATAAAAACTAAAAGGCGGCTAGGGATGTGGCTCAGTGTGAAGGCCACTGTGCAGGTTTAATCCCCAGTACTAGAGTCAGGGTGGGTGAATACTGATCTGATAGCAGGATCATCGCAGACCTGCAATAGGGGCACAGTTACCACAGGAGGCCAAGACCACAGCTGACTCCTAACTGGGACGCTTCGAGGCCTTGGGAACTGAAAAGGTGGGACACATGAAAGAACCATTTCGGAAAAATGATGACTTTTTTTTTTTTTTTTGGTGGCAGTTTAGCTCAGCGGCGTAAGCGCCTGCCTTGCAAGCAAGCAGTCGTGAGTTCGATCCCTGATACCGATAAACGAAAAATGATGACTTTTTAACCACTGTTTGGAGAAACAGTGAGTCCCAGTGATGCTTAGCTTTTGAGCTTCCCAACCTTGCAAGTGATCACAGCAGTAGGACAAACAGAGAAACCAAAAGGACTGACCAGTTTGGGACAAGATAGTACAGATTTCAGAGTGCTGCTGTAACACAAGGAGACACTGGCTGTGGGGGACACTGAGGCAAGGTAAGACAGCTGAAGTTGGATCCCCGGTATCCAAAAAAAAAACACCGGAAAGAAACAGGCAAGAATGAATTATTATAGTAATAGTTAATGAGAATTATCATAAAGCATGTCATATGCTAGGGCCTACTCACCTTGAGAACTCAGTCCTTGTAACAAGGCAGTGTTAGAAGGCAGAGCCATTATGCCCAGCTTACAGATGACACAGGTGTGCAGTGCCTGAGGTAGCCCGGGCAGTGAGGAGACCTCTCTCGCTGGAAGCCCTCCTCCTCCCCCCAAGACGTCTACCCTAGAAGGGACAGAAAACAAAACTTGTGGTTTCTGACCACATGCCTCCTGCGAGGCAAAGGGGACAATTAGAGAACACGAATGTCATCCACAACCTGGATCTGTCTCTAGACCTAGATTTTAAATTGGCAGGATCAGGCATAGGGGGACATGTGTAAGTAATCCCAGTCCTCAGCAGGCTAGGCAGGAGGATCACTTGGGTTCAAGGCCAGCCTGGATTAGATAATGAGACCCTGTCTCAAAATTTAAAAATAATAAGTAAATAAGGAGTATGGGAACAGTGAAGACACTGAGCCTGGACTGTGCACCTCACTGGGTGGCCTCCCTTCTCTCCTGGGTGCACATGCTTTGATTATGAATGAAAATGCTAGACTAGGAGCTGGGGGTTTAGCTCAGCAGCATAAGCGCCTGCCTTGCAAGCAGGCAGTCATGAGTTCCATCCCCGGTACCAATAAAAAGGAAAAAGACCAAAAAAAAAAAAAAAAAAGAGTTAAAAAAAGAAAATGCTAGACTAGAGTTAACCCTCTAAGGTCCTTTCCAGCTCAAAACTGTACAACTCTAAACCTGGTTGCTGGGTGTCACAAATTACAATCTCTCTCCCATTGCATATGTTCCAGAGTGTGGCATTTTAAGTAGGAATATGCCAGTGCCTGCTGCCAGTATGCATGGTGTCCCAGATATATGACAGTAAGTTTTTCTTTGTGAGTAAACAAGGGATGCTTCGTGGTTTTCTTCGGGAAACATCAAATTGCTCTGGGAGGCAGTAAATCCTAAAATCACTGACTCAAAACTCAACAACCAAATATTAGAACTGAACAAATTTTTGAACAAATGGACTGAGTAGATGTCTACAGAGTGTTCCCCGCCCCCTGACTCAAGCCATGGTGACTCCAGAAAATGTTTTGATCTGTATTTTCATTAGCACAGCCATTTTGTGTCTTTCTATTTTTTGTGTGTTTTCGATTCTTTTTATAACTATTATGGCTTATGTCTAGATGTCCTCCAGAGCCTTCTTCTATCATAGGTGGGGCTTTTTCAAAGGTGGTTTAATCTAGAGTATGTGACTGACTCATGGTACAGTGCCAGGATTAAGAGGGCTAGGATAAAGGGTGGGTGACTACTAAATCAGTCCTCTGATTGGTCTGGCACTGCCCTAATCTGGCCGTCTGGATACAATATAAGGGACAGAAAGAGGCTTGTCTTGCCCTGTTGTTTGCTTTGCGACCATCTGCCTACCACCAAGTCTTCTCCTCTCCCATGCCACCTTGCCTTGGAGCCAGCCGATTATGGAATGAAACCTCGACACACTGTGAGCTAAATAAGCCTTTCCCCTTTTAATTTTGGATGTTGGGTATTTTGTCTCAGCAACGAGAAAAAAGTAATTGAGACAACAACCAAATCTAAGTCTTGGCATTGACATTAACCTTGTGAGATGACACAGGTTTTGCTTTTTGTTGTTGTTGTTTTTTTTTTTTTTTTTTTTTTGGTACCAGAGATCAAACTCACAACCTCATGCTTGCCAGGCAGGCACTTATGCAACTGAGCTAAACCCCCAGCCCGACACAAGTTTTTACAGAAAAGAAAAAAGAGACTCATTAAGTGACTTGACCAAGATCATAAAGCTCATTAAAGCCAGAGCTACAATAGAGATCTAGGGCTTCCGATCTGACTTGTGTGTTCTTCCCGCTGCTGTGCTGGGTGTAAGATAAAGGCTGACGCACGAGAAACAAAGGGGCTGTGATTGTAGAAACAGGCAGCACGGACAGTCTGTGTCCACAGCTTACAGGCGGGCTTGTCTGCCCTGTTCCCACTCTGCGGTTCACTGGTTTACTGGCTTTAGCTTCCTCTCATTCAACGCACAGCCTTACAAGGCTTAAGATAAAGGCTACTTCAGAGCCATGGACAGTGATTAATTGGAATGTCAGAGGGCAAGGAGAAGAAGTAATAACATGCTAGCCTCCGGCAAGATGTGAAAGATGTTTATATTCTTTCCCGGGGCTCGAGGATGTGATCGTACCATCTCTCAGGGTTGTGAGACTCCAAGATAATTAGGTAAAAGTACCCCTGAAAAATCACATACAGATTCTCTTTCATTCAACCATTTCATTTTAGCATTTATTGAGCACCAACAAGACCCTAGGAATTACGCTGGGAACTGGAGGAATATGAAGACAAAGAAATAAGGAGTGAGCTCAGAATCATATTACATAGTGTATTTCTGTTACCTTCTTTCCTATTTTTGCTTCTTCTTGTCCAGGATTATATCAGGGGAGATGGGTCTTGTAGTTCTATCCAATTTTCCAGCTTCTTTCCCACAGATTTTTGCTACAGGCCAGTCTGTAGGCTTACAGTCCACTGGCCGAGGGATACCCTGTCTATCGTGCATTCAGCAAATCAGTACTTCACGTACTAAAGCCAGATACAAAGGTGGACAAACTGGAGCTGGGGGTTTAGCTCAGCGGCATAAGCGCCTGCCTTGCAAGCAGGCGGTCGTGAGTTCAATCCCTGGTACCGATAAAAATGAAAAAGACAAAAAAAAAAGGTGGACAAACAAGGTCCCTGCCCTCATGGACCTCACTCGAACAAATCAATGTACAAATGAATATATATTCATAAATGACAGTGACAGTATCAGGAGGTGGGAAGAGAGAAGAAAAACTCAGCGTAAGGACCTCTTAGGGAGGCACAAAGCTGAAACCTTTGAAGGACAAGAAGTCATCCACAAAAGTCACCTGGGTAGAGGCTGGGGATTTAGCTCAACGGCATAAGCACCTGCCTTGCAAGCAGGCAGTCGGGAGTTTGATCCCTGGAACTGATTAAAAAAACAAAATCACCTGGGTAGAGGCCTCCCAGGTGGAGGGAACACGATCATCAAACGTCCTTGAGTGGGAGGGAACATGGTGTCTTCAAAGCAGTGAGGCAGAAACCTAGAGCAGGTCATCGGCTCTCCAGGACTCTGGAGTGAGAGGCAGAATCAGGGAGGCCTTGGAGACTGAGGTAAAGAGTCAGCTGCAACTCCACTGCCCTTCTGACACCCTCTGTTCTCTCTTCTCCATGGAAGTAAAGCTGGCTTGTTCTGCTAGTCCTATTATTCCAAGATGCTGATAAAAGGCTGATAATTAGTTAGAAAAATCTGGCATAGAACAAACCACCGGAGAATGGTCAACTTGAGCTCCTTCTCTTTAGGCAGATAAACTCAGCTGACCCCAGAACCTATAGATAGGGTGGGTGATAACAAAGATTTTCATCCCTCCTCCTGCACCGATCACAGGTCTATGGGAGCATTATACCTGTTGTATATGGACTCCATTTGCTTAAATAGCAGGTATCCCTTGGAGTACATTACTGAATTAACAATTTAAAACCGAGGGGGCAATCAAGCAAGATGGCACACACTTGTAATCCCAGCACTTGAGGCAGGAGAATTCCTGCAAGTTTAAGGCCAGCCGGTGCTACAAAGTGAGTTCAAGGCCAGCTTGAACTGCCTGGTAAAATCCTGTCTCAAAAAGACAAAAACAAACAAATTTAGGAGATAAGGTAAATGTGCAGCAAAATCTCTAATAGAGGTGAGTGATTATAAACCACACGAAGGGTAACACTAAGTATTACTGAAGGAATAAAGCTAATCCAGTAACAGCTCCAGGAGCCACTGAACATTCCTCTGCAAAGGAAACCAGTACCATAAACAGGCCAGAAGGGCAGACTCCTCTACCCTTCAAGTGGGGATGCACGATGGCACTTTGGGTACCTAAGTCTACCCAATATGGGTCAACAGTTTCCAAAACATACAGTTTAACCCAACTTCACTTCCAGGAATCCATCCTTAGACAAAAATCAAAGATCTGGCCTGGCATGGTGGTACACACCTGTAATTCCAACACTTGGAGACTGAGGCAGGAGAATCGCCATGAATTAGAGGTCAGGGTGGGCTTCATAGTGAGTGCCAAACCAGAATGAACTACATAGTAAGAATCTTGTCTCAAAAACCCATGAGAAAGGGAAAAAGAAAAAGAGAGAGAGAGAAAATTTGTTCCACAATTTATTTAAATCTAAGAATTTTCATTATAACGTTATATACTATCAAGTACTTAGAAACAATATAAATATCCAACCTGGATTATATATATCACGGTCCTACCTTCATGGTGGGATAATGTTTGAATGAAGTTTTTGAAGCCCAGTAATGACTAACTTCTGGAAAGTCTCTAAACACCATTTAAAACGATACGCCAAACCGGGTGTGTGGTGCACCCCTGTAATTCCAGCACTCGGGAGGTTGAGGCCGGAGAATTGCCAGAGTTCAAGGCCAGCCTGAGCTACATAGAAAGTTCGAGATCAGCCTGAACCACATAACAAGAACCCTGTCTCAAAAAACAAACAACAGGAGAAACAAAATAAAAGAATATGCCAATGAACTGTTACACTATAGCAGGTCACACGGCATGGCGGGAACAAAGAGGCTGGGGGCAGAGAAAGAGAAAAGTCTCAAAGCCTCGCGAGGAGTTTCCAAGTGGAGAGGAAAGAAAGGTCAAGTCGAGTTCTGAAGAAGATTGGGAAAGTTATATGCCTCTTGAAAAGGCTCGCCCGCTGCACTCATACCTCACAACGGTCACCTGGGCAGGCCTGCAACTGGGCTGGAAAGCCACGCGTGTGGTCAGGACTACTACGGCCCTCCCACTGGACAACGCGGAAGCCGAGCGATGGGCCGCCGGAACAATGCTCAGCACTGGGCCTGCGCAGCTTGGCTTCCCCTGGAGCCAAAAAAGTCCCAGGGCCAACGTGGCCGCCCCGCCCACGTGCAAAAAAGGACGCACAGTGACTACTGCGCAGCTGCGCGCAAGCGCAGTCGGCCTGCTGAACTGCTGGTGTGAAGTTTCACACGCAGGAGGATGAAAGGTTTGTGAGGCTTACCTGGCTTAAGGGGGTGACTTAGAGGTAAAAGAGGCTCTAGTGGAAGAGTCAGGATGGGGCTGAGGCCCCAGGGCCTGACGAGCGCCCCTTCTGAGCTCGTTACCCTGGTCCTCCAGGCCACCGGCCTCGCAGGCCTCTGCTGGGTGCTCTCGGGTCAATCATGGTCTTTGGTCCCAGGCCACCCCGCAGCATCCCCTCCCCATTCAGTGCCTACGTCAGCTTCAGATGGCCAGAGGCTGGACAGTTTGGGAGGCGCAGGGTGGAGGGAGAAAAAGCAGGTCACTAGCCTGGCTTGCGGTCCTGTTCTTTGACTCGGGTGTCTGGACACCTGACTTCCTTGGACGGTGCATGATAGTCTGAATTGCTTCTCTCCTGGCCATTGTGGCTCTCCCTCCATTCCTCACCCAACCTATTTAGGGGCTGGGGATGCCCAGCTTTTTAAAAAGTCAGCCTCGAGCAGGGACAGGCATAAGGCTGTATTGTATACTTAGTAAGAGCCCTGGATAAAAGCAGGCTTTTCCATGGTTTTAACCTCTTATGACTTATGCCGAAGTATGCTTGGGGTGACTGAAGGTGTGGGCATCTAGAGGATGTTGGGAAATGGGAAAGCAAAATGTTTTCTCTTTAAAATGAACTTCAAGGGGTTAGGGATTTAGCTCAGTGCTGTAGCACCTGCCTGGCAAGCCTGAGGTTCTGAGTTAGATTCCCAGTACCCACCTTCTACAAATTTTTTTTGAACATGAATGCTTTTCTGGTCACCACCTGCCAGGCCTAGTACCCACTCACTGCTGTGTTTTTCTTGTCCGTTTGGCTCAGATCATGTCTCATGTGGACGAAGCAGCCCGCCGGCTGTCCAAAGATGGGACAACCCTCTATGCAGTGCTAGAACTTAAGAAGGGTGCCTCACCTGAAGACGTCAAAAAGTCCTACAGGTTTAGACCTTGGCCCTTGACTGAACTCTAGAATTTCCTGCTTTTCTTTCTATTTTGCTTTCAGACCCTTGTTTAGATCTCAAGAAGCCTTTATTTGGCACTGGAAGAGGTCATCACCCCTCTTTAGGGTGACATGGGAAGATACTTAGATCTTGGCCGCTTCCTCCAAGATCCTTTGTACCACATTCTGTGCATTCCTCAACACTATTAGAGATTTGTCCCCCACCCCCATTCATCCTCACCTACCATCCCCAGTCATTTCGCATCCCTCCTTCCTCCTTTTGGGTAGGAAACTGGCCTTGCAGTATCATCCAGACAAGAATCCAGGGGACCCCCAAGCTGCAGAAATCTTCAAAGAAATCAACACAGCCCATGCTATACTGAGTGACCCTAAGAAGCGGAAAATCTATGACCAGCATGGCTCATTTGGAATATACCTCTATGATCACTTTGGCGAAGATGGAGTTAGATACTATTTTATAGCCAATAGTTGCTGGTTCAAGGTACACAGCTCTCCTGGTCCCTAGGACAGATTCTCTGGGTGTGAGGAGGGAGGGAGGGAGGGATCATGAATGGAAATACAGGAGCAGAGTTGGACGGAGGCTTCTCTGCCACCTACAGACACTTGTCATCCTGTGCACACTGCTCACTTGCTGCTGCTGTTGCTGCTGCTGCTGCTTTTGTTGTGGAACACTCAAACCACCACCCGAGGAGACGAGTAGGCAGAGATGTCAACAGCACGTCCGGACACAACCTTCAGGTGCAGGTGAGGACCAAGGGAGATAGTGGGGGCAGATCTGGATTAGCAATGAAAGGAGAGGTCCTATGAAAATGGCAAGTTAATCCCTAACTGTGACAGTTTCAAGCCTGGCGTTGGGGCAAAAATTAAGAAAGAGGAGCTTGATAATATTTCTGAGTGCCTTATGCCATGACCTGGCAGTTTGAATGCAGCATTGGTGGCTTCTAGCTGCTAAGCCCCAATGGGGCGGGATACCTTTCCTAGAAATGGCAGTCGTTGAAAACAGGTTCAAACATGCAGGTTATTGTATCTGTTCCAAAGAAAGATGAGCTGGGGGTGCAGCTCAGTGGTAGGGAGCTCCCCTAGCATACACAAGGGCATAGGTTTGCAAGAAAAGAAGGAGAAGAAGAAAGATAAGCTCTGAGATGGTTCCGATTGCAAATGTGGAGGGGAGTCAGCTGAATTCACACCATGCCACCTTACGACGCTCAAGGAGCAGCTACCAGGTAACGATTTTCTCATCTGTAGACTAAAAGCATGTTATTAAATGCTTGTATATGGAAACATACATATAATTCCATCATAGGAATAAAACATCATTTTGGAAGAGATGAAGATAGTGATTATTAACACAGTAGGAAGAAGGACGAGGTATGTAAAGGGAAAGGCGGCAGCAGTACGTGAAGGACCAGGCCAGGCTTGCTAGCTCGCCCTTAATCCCAGTGCTCTGAGGCAAGAGGACTGCAAGTTGGGACCCTGCTTGGGTGACTTAGTGACTTAGTCAGCCCTTACCTCAAAATAAAAACAACCAAGGGCTGGGGATATAGCCCAGTGGGAATACCTTGGCCCAGTCCTCAGTACCACTACCAAAAATAATAAATAAGAGACACCGACGAACTATATAAACTACCTTCATTAGTGAAGAGTTTATATCCTCATAGAATGGCGTCCAGAGGTTTTTACCTTTGTAGAATTAGGGAGTTTGCCCTGAATTCCAGGTGGTTGTTTGCTCTGGTTAATACATGCCAACTTCTTCTGCCACTAGGTTCTGGCCCGGCGAGGGTACCCACTGCTGCTTAGTCTGTTGGACACATTGGAGAGAGGAGCAAGTAGCCCTGTCCTGACTTTGACTCTGACTTGATCCCCGCTCTGTAAGAATTCCTCCTTCAGAAGCACGGATGGTGACATCCTGTAAGGACACCGTGTCTGGCCCTGGTCCTGGCCGTCCAGGGCCTCCAGCTACTCTTTGTGGCTCCAGTCCCACTCTTACCTGTCAGAGAGCAGTACTGCCACCCCTCCCTGCGGGAGGCCTCAGGCCGTGCCGGCAGACTTTTCCTGAGGGTTCCTTTGCTGTGCTTGCCCTGGCACTTGAGCCAATGTCAGGTAGGTGCCTGAGTCACCTGCAGTACCTCCACCAAGATCCCGGTCATCGAGCAGGGCAGACCCTGTTCTGGGAGCTTCTCTACCAGTAAGTCCTCCTCTGTGGCAGCGATGGGTACCAAAAACGCTTAGCATCCACCACATTCCTAGGCCACTACACCCTCCTGAGGCTGCTCTCATCTTCTGGTGCCCACACCATGGGTACTGCAGCCTCCCCTAGGCCACCATGAGCCAACTGGAAAATGAATGCATTTGACTCTTGCAGATGGCCACCTGTCCTGGGCCTTCCCGACCTTCAGCTCCCGTGCCCATGTGCCCAGCGCCAGGCCCATGTTAGTCTTGGTCCTGTGGGTGGACTGCGGCCGTGCAGCCCTATGCCTACCTGTCGTCTCCATCCTTACCACATCGTCCCAGGCTGACCACCGTAGAGTTGGTTCTTAAAAAGGACTTGAGACATGATAGGAGAAAGATCGTACTCTGCAGACCGTCCCTGCCGCTCATCTTCGTGCTGTGTCCTCAGCATCGTCCCACACCATTCTCTTCTCACCTGCATGGAATCCTAGGGATGCCTCAAACGTCTCTCCCCTCGCCAGGAGAAAGGCCAAGGAACGTCAGTAAATAAAAGAGATTTTAAAAAGACAGACTGTGTCTGGGCTAGAGAAAAAGGCCAGCAGGAGGAACAGACAGAAACCCAGTGCTCACGCCTGGGACCAGCCTGACCTGCAGAGGGGGGTCCGGGGCCGCCGTGGCGTTGGGGCCAAAGCTGCCCGAGCCTGGTGACTACAGTTTTGTCAGCGCTCGGAGATCCCTAGAGACTGATTTCCTGGTGCCCAAAATAGACCCCTGGCATTCGGATCCTTTCTTCCCAGCTCAGCTCCTCCCAATTTCCAAAAAAAGTTAAAATCCTCAGAGCGGCTTCAGCAAAGTGTGTGTGTGTGTGTGTGTGTGTGTGTGTGTGTGTGTGTGTGTGTGTTGTACTAGAATTGCACACGTCCTGGGGCATCACTTCCAGGCATGGCACAGCAGTCTCCTTTCCTCAGGAGACAGAAGAAAGGGCTGGGCAGGGACAGACAGGCTAGATGTCCTGGAAGGAGGTGGTCTAGTCTGCTGGCCTCTTCTGATTCCCACGGACTTGGGGAGGAGGCCAGGGTCACTGGGCGAGCCAGAGGAGGAGGACAGCATTTCAGGTTCCGAGTCAGTCTGGCCAGGGCGCTTCTCTCACCTGAGCGGTGCAGAGCGCCTCCCCCACCAGCCGAAGAAGGGTCCAGCCAGGGCACAGGGGCTGGGCTCACAGGGGCCCTCTGGGTGATGCATGCTTTCTCTGGCCCACCTTCCCCCACGAACAGTGACTGTCGCCCTTGCTGCTGCTCAAAGTCAGTGAGTCAGGGTCACTCCCTCTGTGACAGCTGTAGCTCGCCTTACATGAGCTAAATTGGGAGTCGGAATGTCCCACAGATGCCCCTTGTCTCCCCACCCCCACGGTAATACTGATCTCCTCTCTGGGAAGCCAGGGACAAACAGTGCTGCCCACGGACTGAGACAGACAGTGGTTTGGGGGACAAAACATTTCCCAGGGAGGGAAGGATAGCGCTGCACGTGCCTGAGAGGACCGAGGAGGGGCCAGGGCAGCAGTGTGGAGAGGAGCAGGGACAGGCAGCTGTCAGGAAGGGTCAGGAACTAGCGCAGCGCCCGGCCCAGGAGGGAGCAACTCGAGGGAGCCCGGCATCCGCACCTTCCCAGTGAGCAGGAAGGGCCCAGAGGCAGCAGCACAAGGCCGCAGCAAGGGCCCGCCAGGTCAGGCGCCAGCACCACGGGATGAACTTCACGGTGGGTTTCAAGCCGCTGCTAGGGGATGCGCACAGCATGGACAACCTGGAGAAGCAGCTCATCTGCCCCATCTGCTTGGAGATGTTCTCCAAGCCCGTGGTGATCCTGCCCTGCCAGCATAACCTGTGCCGCAAGTGTGCCAACGATGTCTTCCAGGTGGGTGCGGGCCAGGGCAGTGGCTCGGACTGGGAGACCCTGGAGGGTGACATGCGCTTGGGGCGCTCAGGGAGGCGTGTGGGGCCGCTGGGGCCAAGGAGCAGGTGAGCTGGGGTCCCCGGATTCCAGATTAAGCATGAGTCAGCAGCCGGCCTGCGGGCTGGCCAGTGGCCCTGTGCCAGCACCGGAAGCAGGACACGTCCGCAGGAGGAAGAGCACCCTGCAGAGACCCGGCAGGGGCCTTACGCCTGGCTCTGTAGGTGCCACATGACCGTCTGTGTTCAGCTGGGGCTTCCGACTTAGTCCTTGAGGAGAATCTGGAGCAGAGACGAGTGAAATACTGAAACACTCGAAAATAATCAGAAAACCCCCAAGAGGGACAGAGTGGTAACAGTGGGCAGGCGACTGGGTAGTCTCCGAACTTCAGTTCACCCCACCCAGATCCCCCGGCTGTTCAGGCCCACGAGCTAACAGGTCTGAGGTCATGGGACAAAGGTCATGGGACAAAGGTCACAGAAAACGTCCCCAGCACTGCAGCCAGTCTGGATTCACATGCGGCCGGCCACAGGGCAAGCAGAGCTGAGCAAAACCGCAGTACCCTTGTGGCCGCTGGTGTCACCTTGTTTCATTTCTTACTGAGTTTAGTGGTACATTTTAGGTCTACATAATGATAATGTTCATCACAGGGGATTTGCATCTGTGCATCTGGCTTCTTTTTTCCCATTCCTCTTCCCATCCTTCAACACCCTCCTCCTCCTCATTTACAAATGTTTATTTCTATTTTTTCCTTCTTTTTTCACTTTTTTCTTGTGCTTTTCTTCCTTCCCCCCTCTCCTCTTTCTGTTTCCCTTCCTGTTTGATCATTTTCTTCCTATTTCACAATATGTATTATACTTTGGTCCTTATCTATACTTTCAGTTTTTCATGCCAAAGAAACAACACATGTCCAGCTTATTTCACTTTAAGAGCAGGTTGTTAGGTGCATCCATTTACCTTGGAATGCCTCATGCTTATCCTTATTTATGGCAGAGTAGTACTCCATTGTATAAAAGAATCACATTTTTATCCCTTGATCAGTTGATGAGCATTTGTGCTATTTCCAAGATTTAGGTGTTACAAACTGTGCCACTATAAGCAGGAGTGGCATATATCACTGGGATATGATGCTTTTAATCCTCTCAGGAAGATACCAAGCAGGGGAATAGCTGAGTCAAATGGAACCTCTAGTCCTAGTTTCTCGAGGAGTCCCTACACTGATTTCCAGAGTGGTTTGTACCAGGGTACACTCCCACCAACAGCTGGCCACTGATTGCAAAGATAAAATAAGCATAAATGGGCTTCCTTTCTTGCCCAGAGCTGCCGGTGGAGGCTCGAGCAGATGACACACCCAAAACCAGGGGACCAGGGAGGACAACGGGGGACGTGTGTGTGTGTGTGTGTGTGTGTGTGTGTGTGCGCGTGTGTGTAGGTGCAGGCCCACTAGCGCTTGTAAACAGGTAAACGCTGGATGGACCTGAGCCGGCTCCTTAGTGTACCTGTCAGTGACCGGAACATTGTGAGCAGGTCATGAGGGAGCGTGTCAGACACAAGTAATCCCCAGCCCTGGGGTGCAGGCACCGAACCCAGAGCCTTGCGGCCCCAGGCATGCCAGTCTAGTGCTGCACCACTGAGCTGCACTTCCAATCTCCGCACAAGTTTTTGGGGGGTTTTTTGGAGGTGAGGGAGTTTTGTTTTGTGAGACAAGGTCTTGCTATGTAGTCCAGGCTGGCCTTGAACACACTGTGGTCCTCCTGCCTCGGGCTCCCAAGTGCTGGGATTATAGGTGTGAGCTACCACGCCCAGCTACTAGTGGTTTTAAACAAGAAAATATTTCTCTTTTAGGTTCCTTGAGACAGTGTATTTGGGGGGTGGGCAATGGGACAGCCAGATGAGGCCATTGCAAGCTGTGCCCCTGAGCCAGCCTTTGTCTCTCCTGCCGTTTGCCTGTACTGAACATGATGCCTGCCGGCACCAGCTCCAGCCCTGGCTGAGAGGCTGCACCTTGCCAGCCACCGCACAGCCTTCAGGCTGAGATGCCAAGGGAATGGCAGGAAGAGTTTGCCACCCTTTCCCATGAATTTATAATGAAACAGCTTCCCATTAGAACCTACAATATATGTATCAAAGAGAAGTTTGGAAAACTAAGGTAATGTGTCCTGTAAAAGAAAACAAACACAGAATGCAAACAATGTGGTATCACTTGGCAGAGGGACCCAGGAACAGAGGGCCCTGTAACAGAGGCTGAAAGGTGTTTCACTGACCCCCTTTGCTTGAGGCACAGCATCTGGGTTCCAAGAAGCCACAGAATATTAATCTGGGAAGACTGGAGAACAGTCTGAGTTAAACTCTGTGCAAAGGCAAGGCACTGGGAGGCTGAGGCAGGAGGATTGCTTGAGCCCAAGTGTTTGAAGCCAGTCTGGGCAACATAACAAGATGCATCTCAAAACAAAAGCCCTGTGCTGACTGGGAGGTGACGTGGTTCCCAGGCTCTCAGAGGGCTCTGCGGGCTGGAGCGTTGCACATCTTTTTAAGTTCAGGGCACTGCTGGGTCCTGCACAGAGAGCAGAGTGAGCAGCTCATGCCCTGGCTGCTTTGTCTGGGCGGGTGTGGGGGAGGCTGACCCACTTCTCCTGCTGCTCCTAAGTATATGCATCGCAGTGCAGCGCCGTCTGAGAGATGAGCATATTTAGTTTTTCACACGTTGCCTCCACATTTTGACAACTCGAGGCATAATCAGATTGTCTGTTTTCTACGCATGCCAAGAATAAGCCTCTGAGTTCCTCCATCTCCACACCACTCAGGAAGAAGACCTTTAAAAGAGTCCTAGAAAGTTGCTGGCCATGAAAGCAACACCACTACCACATTTAAACTTGTATGTGCACACTTTTTCAGACACCCTAGGAGTTCATGGCCTGAGAAAAATGAATACACCACTCAGCTCAGCTCCTCAGTCCTCGTCCACAGTACGTGGGAGTCCTTCCAGAAAGTTCCATCACACAGCCCCATGTTTGCATATGTAGATGCACTAGACTGAATTGCTCTTGTTCACTTATTTCCACTGGTGATCATTCTACATCCTCACGTTCATGCTCTGCCTTCCTTTTTAGAGTTGAATTTGTTTTTTTTTTTTTCCTTTTTTAAATTTTTTATTATTTTTTTTATCAGTACTGGGGATTAAACTCATGACCGCCTGCTTGCAAGGCAGGTGCTTATGCCGCTGAGCTAAATCCCCAGCCCTGGCCTTCCTTTTTAAATGGCTCTACTGTGTCTCACTGTTATGATGGAGCAGTCTGTTTAATGCAGGCTCTAAATGCATAGATAGATGCTCCAGGGTTCACTACCCTAAAAACTGCTGTGGCAGACAACAAATAAGAATCTGGGGAAATTGTGATTTGATAAAATCAGATTAATTAGCCAGGTATGCTGGCATTCACCTGTAATCCCAGCACTCGGGAGGCTGAGACAGGAGGATCGACACAAATTCGAGGCCACCCTGGGCTACATAGTAGGGTGCAGGCCAGCCTGCATTGTGTAGCAACATCTTATTTAAAACAAATAGGTTATATTTGGAAATAAAAATTTGAAAAGTTGAAACATTTCATTGAAAACGTGGAACAGGATTAGGAATTTGGGAAGAAGGTGTCCAAAAATCTTACCTTGACTCACACATTTATTTTCATTTTTGCATATTGCTTTCAAGCCCTTCTCCTTGTACGTATTTTTGCATAGTTGCGATTATAATTTAACTACCTTTCTTTAGAGCTGTAACACCTCTCTCTAAGCTGAAACAGAAAACAGAAAAATATGACATTAACCCCTCTAATTTCTGTCTCCTTCGCTCCCCACACGTACACCCACTCAGCTCCCAGGCATTTTGACTAGACCAAAGCTGTCGGTGCGGGAATTGACACAAACATCTCCCCACATGTTTCTGTATTTGTAAACTCTATTCACGTCTGAACTGCTTTAAAGCAAGCCTTCGTGCCTGCCCCACTTCGCCGTGGGCACTTGCTGCTGATCTGTGATGCGTTGTGGCATAGCGGACAGCCGGAAGGTCTTGGGAGAAGGTGGCCAGGAGCAGCTTTTCTGTGGGAGGTCCAGCTAGGGCGACTTGCAGAGGGGAAGTAAGACAGAGGCCTCCTTCTCCAGAGAAAAGACTCTGGGAAGCATCGGCCTCTGACTCACTCCACCCGATTCCAGGCCTGTGGTAGCACTGGGGTCCTCACACAGCGTCTGCTTCCCCAACCGCTTCCATGCTGGCCAAGGGGAGCAGGAGCCCCGCCTGGGGCAGGCTCCCGTCCAGCCGAGGGCCTTGATGCTGGGCAGCTGTGCCAAGGAGCTGCATCCGTGGTGCAGGTTTGCTTTATGAGCAGCTGGTTCACTGAAGTCTCGTGAGTTATACAAATCCCACATCAGGGTTTAGGATCTTTTTCTATAGGGAAAAGGGCTGGGTTTGTGAGAACAAACACCCCCTACTGAGGTCCCTTTTCTGAGTCTGCTCCCATTGGTGCCTTTCATAATTTGCCACGTGATGTAAAGCAGGAGACTATTTTGCCTCTTCAAGTCTGTTTACCCATCTGTGGGTTAAAAGGGAATTTTAAGCTGGTGTGTGTGTGTGTGTGTGTGTGTGTGTGTGTGTGTGTGTGTGTTTTAGATAGGGTTTCATTATGCAGTTCAGGCTGGCCTTAAAATCTCAGTGATCCTCCTGCCTCAGCCTTCTGAATGCTGGGATTACAGAGCTGCACCACTACACCAAGTTTAAACTGATTTTAACATCTCTTGTAGTTCTAACAATCTGGTTTCACAGATTCAAAAAGTAAACTAGGCATGGTGGCACACACCTGTAATCCCAGCCCTTGGAAGGCTGAGGCAGGAGGATTGCTGCGAGTTCAAGGCCAGCTGGAATTACCTAGCAAGACGCTGTCTCAAAAAAATAAAAAAATAGGGCTGAGGATTTAGCT